AGTCTCCCAGTCATGTCTGACTCTCCCTGACCCCACGGACTGCAGCATGCCAGGCCTCCCTGACCCTCACCATCTCTTGGAGTTTGCCCAAGTTCATGTCCATTGCATCAGTGACGCCACCTAGGCATCTCATCCTCTGATGCCCTCTTCTCCTTCTGCCCTCAATCTTCCTAGCATCAGGATCTTTTCCAATGAGTCATCTGTTCACATCAGGTGGCCAAAATATTGGAGCTTCAGCTTCAGAATGGCTACCCACTCCAGTATTCTTACCTGGAGAATCCCATGGACAGAGGAGCCTGGTGGGCTATAGTCCATGGGGTCCCAAAGAATCAGACACGACTGAGTGACTAACACTTTTGTTTTTACAAAGGACTTGAGCTCACTGTAGTTGATTTATTAATTAAGAATAATAGAAATAATCTACTAACTAATTGTCTTTTAGCCATTGTATTAAATGCTTTACAAATATATTTGTGTGTGCATCCTACATCGATTCGGCTGTGTCCCAACTCTTTGTGACCCTATGGACCATAGCCCGCCAGAGTCCTCTGTCTATGGGATTCTCTAGGCAAGAATAGTGGAGCGGATTGCCATTTCCTCCTCCAGGGGATTTTCCTGACCCAGGGATCGAATCCAGGTGTCTTATTTCTCATGTGTTGGCAGGCGGGTCCTTTGCCACTAGCACCATCTGGGAAGTCCCAACGTATTTGTAGCAGGCATAAATTTTATTTCATAACACTAGGGTGAGAAATGGTCCATTTATTTCTCTTAGTTAAGTTTGCTTCACGAGAGGAAAATTCAATTTCCATTAGGGAAGAAAGGAGGGCGGGGGGAACCTTTTACCCCTCTAATGATACATAAGAATCTGAGGTCTTTATCTGGGCTTCCCTGTTGGCTGAGATGGTAAAGAATCCACCTTCAATGAGGGAGACCTGGGTTCAATCCCTGGATTGGGAAGATCCCCTGGAGGAGGGCCTGGCAACCCACTCCTGTATTCTTGCCTGGAGGATCCCCATGGACAGAGGAGCCTGGTGGGCTACAGGCCATGGGGTCACAGAGAGTCAGACACAACTGAGCAACTAAGCACAGAAGTCTTTACTACACAGATTCCATGAAAAAGACCTTGTGTTCTTTAACTCACAGAGCATGCTTATGGGCTCATGCCTGCACCATTCCTGGACAGCGGGTGACTCCTGTGCTTTTATTTCAGCTTTGGACACAGAAGTCACGATCAAAGCGAGGAAGCTGAGAGGCAAGATGTCAGAGCTCCCTGGGGGAGCACAGCTATTGCCCTGGGCACTGCAAGAATGCCGGGTGTCTTTTCTGCCCAACACACCACCCCCCACCTCGCCACCCCCGCCTCATGCCTCTCACAGAGCCTGCCTCTTTGTATTCTTTCCCTGGTCTCAGAAGAATCTCCCCAAACTAACTCTGGTCTGTGTTTCTTCCTTTCACATCTGCTGTTACCCGTGAATCTTGACTTCTCTGATGAGAGAAAACAAAGGTTCTCCTAACTCACTCAAGTGTCAGAGCTCTGGTTACATAAGAGGAAACCACTCAAGTATTTGTTTGAGGACTCAACTGTCCTCAAACACCTAAATCTGAGTAAACCCAAAAGTCCAAGCTTGAAAGGACTTGAGACTTTATCTAACAAGTCAAAACCTGCCCAACCAAAAAAAATCCTCAGCGTCTACTATAAAGGGGATTTTTTAAAGAAGAATTAAGTGGCTTCCCTGGTGGCTCAGATGGTAAAGAATCCACCTACAATACAGGAGACCAGGATTGAATTCCTGGGTCAGGAAGATCCCCTGGAGAAGGGAATGGAAATCCACTCCAGTATTCTTGCCTGGAGAATCCCATGGACAGAGGAGCCAGCCTGGTGGGCCACAGACCATGGGGTTGCAAAGAGCTGGGACAGGACCGAGCAACTAACCTTTCACTTTCACTAATGGATCAGTTAGTTTCATGGGCGCCTCCTCTCTACACTCACAATGTAGAAAACTCTGTTAAAATTCCTGAACATGAGAACCTCATGGTATGTCTTTATGTTCCTAGAAACTAACACACCCAGAAGGGACTTAGAACTTGTGAAAGAACCAAAGTGAAGTCGCTGAGCCATGTCCGACTCTTTGAGACCCCACGGACTGTAACCTGCCAGGCTCCTCCACCCATGGGATTTTCCAGGCAAGAATACTGTAGTGGGTTGCCATTTCCTTCTCCCAACCTAAAAAATGAAAAGGGAAAAAAACAGGGCAGAGGGCAAAGAAGTGCCAAGTAGAAACACAATTTCAGCACAAAAATGTTCTGAGTAAACACTACTCACTTTTTTTTTTTCTCTTTAGCAAAGTCTAACCTTAAAACGCATTCTCAGTAATTCTCTAAGATGATGATGAAAACAGATGCTCTGCCTGGCTGGTACCCTCTCTTACACTCCCTGGCTTTCTATCTTTCTTCTAGGGCCTCAGCAGTAACTTCCCAAGATGTCATCCTGCTTTGGTGTATTTTAACAGAAACACCAGTCATGTTTTTATCATGTTTTTGGAGAGCACATTAGAAAACATCAGGCTTGTACATTACCCTATATGTATATACAAGCCTATATATATATTAGCCAATATATATGTTGGGGATGTTTTATGTAAATCTGTGCTAAATTAAGCATTATAAACATGCTATGGGGATTATTTATAGGAAATATCTCTTGACAGCACAAAGAATTTCTCCTTCACATGAATAATCAAATTTTATCCTGTTGCATGCTTTGCTGTCACATGTATCAGAATTTCATGACAAGGTGCTCATTGGTGCATCTGAGTACAGAGAAGGAAACACGTTGTCAAAATCCTGCAACCAGCGAGAGAAAGGGGAGGACTTGGGGAAAAGTAAGTATGTGTGTCTGAGAGCTTAGAACTCACAGTCCTGCGTTTCCTCTACAGTGTCATCTACCAAGGGCATTTAGAGGTCATCTTGTTAGGGATGCTTTTATTACTATTCCTTGTTGTTCCAGAGACCAAGATCGGCTTTCCCCTTTCTTGGTACCATCAAAAGAAAGAACTGTCTCTTCTCTTTGCAAAGATTTTACTGATAGATATACATTTAACTTGAGGCAACACATACTTATGTCTCCCTTCTTACAGGAAAGATACTTCATGTTGGAATTAGGATCCCACAGTGCATGAGATAGAGTAGCTGTCACCACAGGGGCCAGGAAAGAAAAGAAAACAGAAAGCAGACTGAGGATAATTACAGTGAATTTAAGTACATTCATGTCTTGAGTAATTGGGAACACAAAGATGAATAAGAAACAACGCGTGCCACCAAAAGGTTCAGAGCCCAGGGAGGGAGGCGGACACACAAACAGGGTATTTCAGCACAGCGCTGTGTCATAGTAAGTGCTTACCGACCTCACTCAGTTACCCAACCAAAGACACTTACCGTTGTAGGATGGAAAGGACAAGTTATGATCTACAATTTTCTTGGTGCCAACATCCCATCAGTTCCTGTCCAACTTAGAAAGCCTTTTCTTTTTCCTAAATGATCTGTCTTGTGTCACATATGGGCAGAAAGGCTTTTGTTGAGAGCAGCCAGGAAGCTTCTCAGAAATGTGCGTGTGTGTGTGTACATGTGTGTGTCTGTGTGTGTCTCTGTGTGTGTGTCTGTGTGTGTGCACGCGTGTGCATGTGTGTGTCTGTGTGTGTCTGTGTGTGTACATGTGTGTGCCTGTGTGCGTGTNTGTGTGTGTGCATGTGCATGTCTGTGTGTGTGTGTCTGTGTGTTTCAGTGGAGTCATTATTATGCCATTCCAAAGACAGGACATAATAGGTCCATTTCTTCTAATGGAGAGATAGTGTACAGTTTAAAGATGGTTTATTAACTTCCATCTTATGATACACAAGAGCTATTTGGGTACATAACTTACCTTGCCGGTCCATAGTCAGACCCATAAACCTCAGCAGCACTTTTCCCCCACCTTTTTGACTAAATAGAAGTTACTTTGCAGTTACAACCCTGTTATATATGATGTTAATAAATGTGCTGCACTGACTGTCCACTCTTTTAAGTAACTCTGCTAACCTGGACACATTATCTGAGATTTATACTGCTGCATAAAGTCTGCGGGGAATGCAGGGAAATGGCTTTATAGATAGAATTAGACTGGCTATCTCTCTTACATTTCAGACACAGCAGGAGAAGAGCTGTTCAGAGGCACTTGGAAAGGACGAGGGAGGGCAAAAATAATAAAAAAGAAAGATTTTGAGGAAAATCTATGCAGTTTTTCCAATACGGCTGATTGTAGATTAGGCTTTGGTTGTTAAAAACAAAAAAATCCCTTCTTGTCTTTATGAAGAAGGGAAAAATAAGCTCCAGTGAAACTTAACATTTTATGCCCTTTAGTCAAGTGGCAAACCTATTTTGAAACTCCAGTTAGAGAACTAAAACATAGTACTAAGTTGTTGAATAAATATTTGTTAAATAAATTATAAACCGTAAAGTTCCTGAAGTCTGGAATCATTTTTCTCTCTCCTGCATCCAGAAGGATGCTCAGCACTAGTTATTTACTTCATGAATGGATGACATAAACAGCAGTATGTCTCACCACTCACTAGTACTGAACAGATACCAATCCAGCCCTGTGTCTGATCCTGAGAGGGAGCAAGGAATATTTTATTATTGTTTCACAAGCTAAAGAGCTCAAGGTAAAAGTAGTGAATTGGTTTGCATGTTTCCACATAACAAATGATTAAAATGAGAGGAACAGAATCCCCAGGATTCAACAATGGAATAAACAAGATGGCAGCCAACACAGTTAAGAGTCAAATGACCATTCCCTGGCGGCTTAGTCAGTAAAGAGTCAGCCTGCAATGCGGGAGACCCACGTTCAATCCCCGGGTCAGGAAGATCCCCTGAAGAAGGAAACAGCAACTCACTCCAGTATTCTGCCTGGAGAATTACATGGACAGAGAAGCCTGGTGGGCTATAGTCCATGGGGTCACAAAGAGTCGGACACGACTGAGTGACTGATGCTTAAGATAACAGTGAAGGGCTCCAAATTCCAGCCTGGTGCCATATCGTGCAAACATGAGTTAGGGATGCTGGAGAATAGTATCTTTCGTTAATTACTTCCGCTGGAGCTTCAGTTCTTTGAATTATGCTCTCTCCAAAGCTACAGTGCTTTTTTATCTTCCAAAGGCATACTCTAAGTTCCAGTCTGTGTGTGTGATGCTTCTGTTTTCATCGCATCCTCATCTCCTCACATCTGCTGTCATTCCCATGTATGCCTAGTTCGATTTTTTAACTATAATGCAATGGAAAAAAGTAGATTCACATGTACAGCATATTCATAATTTAAGTCAGATATGGCTGTTTAAGTTATCAATGCTTTTCATAGCCTGAAATGTATGCCTGATGCCAACTCAAATTTAGAACCATTCATCTTATTCAACCATATTTTTCTTACTGGTTGCCTACAGCATTAGTCCTACAGCTTGCAAACACTTGTGACAAAACGGTGCTCAATTCATCTGGAATACACCTCTGTCCCCTTCTCATGCCCTGAAAAGCCTTTTCTGCCACTGTGTACCTTCCTCTTAATCCTCTTCTGCTTTTCAGGATGCTTTGTCTGAACTAGACCAAATAGGAAAAGATTCAGCTCAAGTGTCCGGCTTAACTGCAACCGTCAATGCTTTCCTCTGTGATACAAGTAGCATCTCAAATCAGTTAGTTTTGCTGCGTAACAAACCACTCCAAGATCCAATAGTTTAAACTAACAATTATTTAATTACTCATGATTTTGTGGGCTGGCAATTTGAGCAGAGCTCACCTGGGATGACTTATCTCTGCCTCAGATAATGCCAACTGGACTGAAACTCATGTGGTCAAGCAGAGATGGCTGGAATATCTGGGGCCTCTTTCCACATAGTCTCATAATCCATCATGGGAGCAAACGCTTTGTGTAGAATCACAGAATTTCCTATCAAAAATGAATGCTGCAAAACCCCCGTGGCCATCTAACCTTAGAAACTGCCCAATATCTCTTCTGACACATTTTATTGGTTAAAAGAAGGCCACAGACACTGCAGAGTCAAGGAGGAGAAAAATAGACTATTCTCTTGATGGGGGGAGATGTAAGTAATTGATGAGTGGTCTTTATTTATTTTTTACTATTTATTACACATTCGGATTTTTCTTTAACAATCTACAAGCTTTAAGCACAATTAAAAACAGCAAAAATTTTTTTTTTTACCAAACAACTGCTACAATTTATCTAATGCCAGTGCCAGGCATTAAACACTATATAATACACATAGTATTTCATTCTTACTCAATGAAATAAATAAAAGGCTGACAAACTATGGCCTACAGGCCAAAGCCAGCCTGCTGCCTGCACCTGTTTTTCTACTGCCTGCAAGCTAAGAATGTTTTTTATGTTTTTAAATAGTTGGGGGGCGGAATTCAAACAGAAAATAACACTTCATGACACATTAAAATTATATGAAATTCAAATTCCAGTGTCCATAAATAAAGTTTACTGGGAACACAGTGTGCCCATCTGATTATATATTATCTATTTCTGCTTTTATACTACCATAGCAGAATTGAATAGTCACAACATGGACCTAAAAACTAAATACTAAAATAACCACTACCTAATCCTTTACAAAAAGTTTGCTGATCTCTGAAATAGATACTATTGATACTGTTATCTCCCTGACACTAATAAGGAACCAAATCTATAAAAACCTAAACACCTCAGAGATAGAATTTAACTCAGATCTACATGACTCATACTATACTCCTAGAAAAATGACAATAACTGCCATTTTTGGGGTTTATGCCTGTGTCGTAATTCCTAATCCTTACAAGAGCCATATGTGAAGGCTTGAACCTCTCCACACCCTTTTTCAAATAAAAAGTTGCATCCTTTGGGGAGTGATTTGGAGACCTTTGTTCTATGGTCTATGTGTGTAAGTTGCTCAGTTGTGTCCAACTCCTTGCAACCCTTGGACCACAGCCCACCAGGCTCCTCTGTCCATGGGATTCTCCAGGCAAGAATACTGGAGTGAGCTGCCATGCCCTCCTCCAGGGGATCTTACTGACCAATCATCAACCTGTGTCTCTTAGATCTCTTGCATTGGCAGGCGGATTCTTTACCTACTAAGCCTCTTCTATGTACTTCTGAAACTGAGGGGATGTATCTCTGGACATCAGATGACCAGGTAGTTGTAAAAGGACTTCTGTTCTTGGCTTACAAGAAACTTTGACAGTTTGAAGAGGTTAAAGTCTCCATTAAATGTGTCATATTGTACTAGTTTAAAGCCTTTAGGTACACCGACCCTTCTTTCCACAAGCAATTGCCCAAAGGCATCTGTGTTTGGAACACACACAGGCAGGCTGCTCCAAGTGCCCATTAGCCTCCAAACCTGAAGTGCCCCCAGAATGAGTTACAGTGAAAAACACGTACCACCGAAAATGAAAAATAGCAAAATACATCAAGAGTTCAAAAGGCGGGAGTTGAACAAGATGATCCCATTTCATGCTACATTAATACGTCACTCTAATTTTATGTAAGAATGAGCCTTTAGACTTCCCACCAGAAGTCTGAAATACGTAGGTATCCAAGTAAGGGTCAATCTATTTCACAACTGGGGAGAGGGGAGGCATAGCTTCAGTGTGGGAAACTGTTCAGAGCTTTTACACCGATGAATAACAACAGAGAGAGAATGAAAAGGAAGACGGGAGAAGAGGGTGAAGGAAGGAAGGGAGGGAAGAAGAAAGCAAGGAAGGAAAGGAGGGAGAGAGGAAGGAAAGACAAAGAATGAAGCCCCTGCCCCATTCTAGCCTCAGCAGATTGATATCCACAAGCAGCAAGCCTGCCTTTGTTCTCCTAAAGAGAATACATGGCTTGATTAAGAGCCTGGGTGCTAGAATTAGACAGTCTGAAATTTCTGTCTTGGTTCTGCTACTTACCAGCCATGGGGGTCCTCATCCAACACAGGATTTAGACTGTCTGTATGACAGTCTCCCCATCACATACATGGTAATAACAATATTACCTACACCTGGAGTTACCACAAGAATCCGATTAAGATAATTCATGGAAAGTGCTTAGAATGGTGCCTAGTACATAGCAATAAACTTTGAGCTATTACCATTCTAATAATTTTAGATCAAGTATAAGGAAATTGCAAATCATCCCAGGTCTTAGTGTCAAAATTAGCATCATTTCACATAGTCATCAAATTGTCTCATCAACAATTCTCAAGAGGAAATAGCTTTCTGGGTCTCATGTCTCCTCTCCTTCTTCAAGTACTTAACCTATATATGATCAATTTATTTCACACTAAATCCCACAAAAAGAACAGTGTCACGATCCAAATTCTATGCACTTCATCAGCCTGTAACTGCAAACTAGAGCTACATTTTCTTACAATGACCAATTTCTTCCAGTGCCAGTCTCTTTTACTCTAATTGCCAAAAGTTAATTTCCCCGCAAAGACCTCCCCTTCCTTCTTAGAGACCTTAAAGAGACGCATCCTAGTTTGTGAGGCATACCCAACACAACATCCCTTTCTCTTCTGCTTCCCCTTAGTCCATGTTCCTGCCTGAGGAGACATCTGGGGAGGTCTTGGTTCCCTGGAGTCCATATCTGGCATGTGAAGTCTCATATACCTGCACACGGTAGTGTCCCTGTATCCCTCAAAGCTCACTTCTTTGGTGGACATTCGTTTGTTGATACTGCTGGCTTCCACCTCTAGGATCAGTACCTCCTGGTCCTCTTGGTGACCCATGTCTCCATCACCATCAACCTGGGTAGTTTGGCTGCCTGACTACAATACCAGCATGTGACCCCTTTCAGAGTAGTTGAGTCAGACCCAAGACTTCTATAACAACTGTCGATGAAAATAAGGGATTAAAATCAAAATCTGAAAGTGCTGACAGCCACACTGCCATCACAGAGAAGTCAAACTAAGATATCTGACTAGACATTCAATACAGAAAAGAGACAGGTTGGAGGGATAGAAAGATATCAAGCAGTGATGACCTCATTTGAGCCTCTGATCCAATTATGCCTGAAGCCAGGAGATAGTCCTAAATACTTCTATTAAGAGAGCTAATAGATGTATTTTTTGCTTTCATCAATTTAGGGTGACTTTTACTGTTATTTGAAACTGAAAGCATTCTGAATAGTAATTCTTCTCATCTTTGGAGTGTCAGAGTCTTTCTGGGCTTCATACAGAAATGAGGAAGAGGGGCTTCCTTCTAAACTCTTTGACAAATTTAGTTATTAGGCCTTGATAAAGTCCTGCCTATGCTTAGAATCTCACAAAAAATCTGATCACATTTTAGTCCTAATTGTCCTAACCATAGAATTCCAAAGCCAACCCAGGTGTCCTGACCCAAAATAGACACTTAAACATCATTCTGTCCCCTTCTCTTGGCCTACCCTCCCCCCAAAAAAATTCTGCCTTCTTCAGTTCAGTCACTTAGTCATGTCCAACTCCTTATGACCCCACGGACTGCAGCTTGCCAGGCTTTGCTGTCCATCACCAACTCCCAGAGCTTACTCAAACTCTCATGTCCACAGAGTCAGTGATGCCATTCAACCATCTCATCCTCTGTCATCCCCTTCTCCTCCCACCTTCAATCTTTCCCAGCATCAGGGTCTTTTCCAATGAGTCAGTTCTTTGCATCATGTGGCCAAAGTATTCGAGTTTCAGCTTCAGCATCAGTCCTTCCAATGAATATTCAGGGCTTATTTCCTTTAGGATGGACTGGCTGGATCTCTNAAAGCAGAAGTAGATGTTTTTCTGGAATGCTCTTGCTTTTTCAATGATCCAACGGATGCTGGCAATTTGATCTACCTTCTTGATCAGTTATAAAACAGAACCTACTATACATCTCAATGGTTAGAAACAGATATACACAGGAAAGAGAATCATGAATGGTTATTATTTAGCCTGTCAGAAATGCCTTGGTATACATCATTGCCTATATGTATGAACTGCCATTTTTTGCTTGATTATCACATACCAAGATCATGTGCCACCTTATGTTTTAAAAAAGGCTTAGCCATAACCTTGGATTCCCAACCTTACATTTCCTATAAAGTCCAATCTTAAAATGGATTATCCTACTACTTGGTTTTTAGACACATAGCTTCCTCTGGGGAAGAAAGAATAGAGAATTCAACTTAAGTATTATAGAGAGAAAGACCTGATTAAACACGACTCAGTCACACGCTGCCATTCAAGACAAATCTGTACCAACGTTCAAATCACCTAGTCTTTCACACACAGCCATGAAAATCAATTACTCTTCCATTGATTTTTACTCCTCTCTCCTAGAAAATTTGCGACGTTACCTTTAATCATCATCATCATCATTGTCAATACCACCATAGGCCAACAGCCCTGATATTCTTACATTTGATAAATTTAATGAAACAGTTTCTTTCCACCATCAATTTTTCAAGCTATTGGATTTCACCCTTTTTCTATCCTCCCACTTCTCCCAACTGTTAAGGTCATTTTCAATTTCAGTTTTGTTTCCAAGGCATTAGCCAACACATCCAACTTCCTGTCGATGGGATATTTAATAAGCACACTCCAAGACAGCAGTGAAATCTCTAAGTATCAATACCCCAGTAGTACTTCTCTCAAAGTGTCGGAGAAGTCACTCCCTGCTTTGAAGTCACAATGACCCCTGGTCAAGTACTTTCAACTTGGGCCAAGTGTACCTAATAGTAAAACGGGCAAAACTCTATTTTCTGTTTCTTGATAAATATGACACGTGGGACTGAATTTTAAAAGCTTCAGGAGGCACAATGAAGGGTTGAAACACATCCATTTCCCCTGACATGACAAAATAAAAAATAGCAACTCTATAAGGTAATAAACCTAATCTTTCAGATTTTTTTCTATTATCTGGAAGGTCTTCAAATCTTTTGGTGTTTCCTGAGTCACTGATCCTAGTTTGCTGGAGGCAGTATGAGATTGGGGCCAAACATGCCTCAGGCAAAATTCTACCTCTGCCACTTTGTGGGACTTTGGTGGGGAAAGGGGAAAAAAAGAAAAAAGCTTTACTTTTTTCCCCCAAATCTATTTCTCATATGTAAAACAGGCATAATTATTAGCTCTAGCATAGTTTCAAGGACTAGCAACTTGCCTTGGCCAGAGTTGGTCTTCCCTTGGCTTATTTGGAAGGCTGTGTCTGTATTATAAAATCGCACTGTAATCAATAGGCAACTTCAGGAACCTTCATATTATGTTTGTGTGAGGCATGACTGTTGCAGTGTGTTTCATACTTTTGGACACCTTCTAATTTCTCACACTCTGGGGTTGTTGGAGAGGCAGTGCAGGTTCAAATAGTCTTGGCATCCATCAGGGTGACCCTGACTACCACTTGTTAACTATGGACCTTGAAAAATTTTGTTACACTCTCAAAGTCTATTTTCCCTTCTGTCTCTGATTAAATAATACACTCTATGCAAATATGAGCCAGGATGTTTTATTCAGTTTTCTAGATCTTGCCCCTAGATAGTGCCTGTCACATGGCAAACGCTCAGTAAGAAATCGTTGATTAAATGATGGATGAATGAATGAATGCAAACATCCTGGAATTAATCTCAATAAAGTTTGAATTAGACTGGGGACAGTTGTTCATTGATACTACCACAGAACCACCACCTCTGACTCCTCAATTAAGGCCTTCCAATTTTCTAAAGTACATCAAAAGATTTGGGGCAACATAGTACTATAGTTAACAATGTGGTATTGTACACTTAAAATTTTTGTTAAGAGAATAAACTACATGTAAAGTTTTCTTCTTTAAAAAAAAGGGAGAGCAAAGAAAACTTTGAGAGGTAATGGGTATGTATTACCTAACAAGGTAATAATAAATGTATGCATATGTCCAAACTCATAAAAATGTTTACATTAAATGTGCAGTTCTTTGTACATCAATTTTATCTTAATAAGACTGTTTTAAAAAAAAGACTGGGGCTACATCTCTAAATGTCAACAGCATGATTTATTTCTTGATAAATTGTGAGTTCTCTAACACCATTAAAGGGTTTGTTATTAAAATATAAGTCCAAACAAATCTAAAGTGATTTCATGACAGCCTGATAGAGCCATGATTCTCAAACTCTCATTCAAATTCTTCAACTGGCAGAAGAGAATGACTGAGTGTCCCTGGGGGATTTAAGAGCATGGATAAATACACTCACTCCCACACATGTACCAAATGTTTTCAAGTGTCATCTTTTATCCCAAGGACATAATCAAATGCACAAAGATGCAGTCACAAGGATTTTTATCACATTATTTCCATAATCATAAAAATTAGAATATAAATATACATAAAAATACAGTAACTAAATGAATTATAGTTTACCCCAATTATAAATTCTATATAGATATTCAACTATATTATCTAAGAATATAAAAATACAAGAAAATATTTTCAACCTATATTACTAAATGGAAGAAGCTGGTGACAACATCTAGTTATCATGACAATATCACTAAAATGACAATAAAGTGATTTTCCTATCAAACACCCACAAAGGCAAAGGTTATAGGAAAGGATACAGAATACTGGAAGATGGAAAGTAAATAGACATGTGGTAGTATCTTGTATCTCAAATGAATCTGAAATTGAAGCTAGCTCTGGGAAGCCCTCAAAGTAGATAATTCATGCTATACAATCTCAGAAATGCTCTAGAATAAGAAATGCCACCTAACTCTGACAGATGAGGTATATATGTTTACAGTTCAGAAAGAAAACTGAATATCCTTACAATAAACTATTTAAATCCAGGATCACTCTCAAACCTGACTACCATTCCTGTAGAAAACTAGGGACTTACCCTCTGAGGAGGTTAATTCAAAAACATTCTCAAATGGTCACTTGGAACAAGTGAAGTTAAAGTACCATATTAAAATATGTGGATTAAGTGAAATTTTAAATGTTGAATCATGTAGCCCCTGGCCCCCTTCCTCCACTCAACTACAAAAATGCTTTCAAGTTCTTTCCAACTTACCCTTATGGCTTCACTCAGCATTAGTTTCTTCAAAATTCTTTTGCTTGGCAAATTTAAAGTTCGAACAAAATCTCAAGAGAAAATGCTTAACCTGCTAAAGAATATAGGTGTTTTAATTACTGAACAGCACTCTTTACAAACAACTTTCATAATCTTTGTAAAGGTTATGTAACAAAACATATAGCTTTGTTAGCGCTGAAGAGGGACCTCTTCAGGAGGTCTACCTGGAAACACTGTAGTCGGTATTAATTTTTTTAATTGCATGCTTAAGCTGCAAAATGGGCATTTCTTAGAACACCATCCATAGTCTACACTTTCTATTGACCCTCATTTGTCTTCTCCCAGTGGCTCTGCACTAAAGTCATTGTATCAAGAGAGTTTACCTAGTGGCTCTCAACCTGGGAAGAGTCAGGGAGGAGGCACCTAGTATCCAGCCCAGCTGTCTCCTCAGTTACCAGCCAAGTGTGAATAAGGAACCCAAAGAGGTCTTCTTAAATCATATATATGCAGCCCTGCCTCCAAAAACTCTCAGACCCTTCAACTATCTCCTAATATAAAATCACACACAACCTTTGAAAATGTAATGAACGTGTAAGTGGGAAGCAGCAGAAAATAGGGTAAGAACTACATCACTACAAATTATCAACATGGGGCCAAGCTGAACAATTCTATACAATCTGAGTTTTGGACAACACCAGAGAAACATGACTCTTAAGGCCCTTTTCCATTTGATAATTTTTATAACTCTTTAGTGGAAATAGGGCCTGTCCCTACCTATAGGAATTGGCACAGAACCTAGGTTAGACCAGTCACCCACCTGGACCAGTGACCAGTCAGTCACAGTGATTCCTTGGAATTTTTCAAGGTAAAGATAGCATGAAAGTGCCTTTTCCACTCTGATCATAAAGTATGAGCACATAATAGCAGTTCTGGACAGCATGTCCTCCACTCCAGGGATAGGCCAGGCTCAGAAAATAAAGCTGGTGAAAAAGGGGAAAATGGAGATTAAGGAGGAAAGGAGAGAATCCTCTAGGAATCTGGGTTTCTGATTACAAGCAAGCCTATAAATTCCCCTTCTGGCTTAAATCAGTTTGGAACCGAATTGAGTTAGAATTTTTCTACTTCCAAACAAGAAAGGGAAAGGGGAAGTCACTCAGTTGTGTCCAGCTCTTAGCAACCCCATGGACTGCAGCCTACCAGGTTCCTCCATCCATGGGATTGTCCAGGCAAGAGTGCTGGAGTGGGGTGCCATTGCCTTCTCCAAACAAGAGGGCCTTGCTAATTCATATTCTATTTTAAACTGTAAACTCTGGAGGGAAAAAGGCAGGACTGATGACACTATATATGGAAAATAGTACCTGAATAGTGGTGACTGTAGGGGCAATGATGATGAAAATAAACTAGTGAACACGGACTACTTCCCATTCACTGCTTTAAACCACCGCAGTGCCTCTGACAGAGGTACTGTGATGTTCTCTCTGACATGACAGTTCAGGAAACTGAGACGGCATGGCTGAAAAGTCACACAGCCAGGGTTTGAACCTAAGCACTGCACTCCCCTGGTGGCTCAGGCAGTAAAGAATCTGCCTGCAATGCGGTAGACCCCGGTTCAGTTGTTGGGTCGGGAATATCTGCTGGAGAAAGACATGGCAACCCACTCCAATATTCTTGCCTGGAGAAGAATCCCATAGACAGAGGAGCCTGGTGGACTACAGGCCAAGGGGTCCCAAAGAGTTGGACATGACTGAGACACACACACACGCCCTGGCCCCAGAGCACATACTTTAAACCACCATAACATTCCTCCTCATCACAACAAGTTGGTTAACTGGTCCATCAAGGTCTCGGACAAAGTCCATTTACAATTCCCAGGAAATAAAAATAGAATCTAGGTGATAAAAGTCTAAACTTTTTTCTTTTTCCTTGATGCTTGGTCGAGTTTCATTTATTCACAGGATGTGGCTTGCAGACACTCTGTCACCAGCACTTCAGACCAGTGTTCCTAAGGCGAAACTGCTATGCTCAACAAATACTTCAACTCCAGCCGTGTGTGGAAGCGCTGCCCAGGACACCACCATTCAAGATGGCGGCGGCAGGCTGCGTGTGGAGACCCTGTGTGATCTGGGGCGTGAGCGGCTCGGCGGTGATTGTCCCGCGAGAGTTCAACGCCCTCCCTGCTGACAGAACCGAGGAAAGCAGCCCCTCCCACAGCCTTTCAGGGAGTGACTGCTCCCGACACTCTGAGCTCCATCTCTCCATTCTTTGATCACAGAATACAACTTTCCTTTGCTTCTGAACCAAACCTGGTCTCGTTCAGTTGGCTCAAATGACAGCAAGCAGAAGGACCCTTATTGGGGACCAAACCAGGAAGGTTGGTTACCTTAAAAACGTATCCTTTTAATTAAAGCACAGAGACCAAAATCACTCTCCACTATAAGCATGTCTGACCTTCTGAACATTCCAACTGCTCTGACACTTCAGATCATACTGAAAAAGGAGCCTTACTTCACTACTGGGGTTTACGTGTGAATTTCCTGGAAAATACCCTGTGGAAACAGCTCCATCTCTAAGAAAATGGAACATGATAAATGATGACAGTCTAATGGGAAGTGCCACACAGAGGCCGAAAACCCTGAACTATTTCTGCTTGACTTGTGGTTTGACCTAGCGCCAATCATTCCACCCTTGACTTCTCTGGGCTCTGTTTATCTCAGATTTAATAAGCGGTAATTTTCAACTTCCCCTCACAATATAAAGAGGGCACTTTTAAGGGAAATCAGCAATGCATAAAGTTCTCCATGTTTCTTAATATTTTAGCTAGAAAAATTTGAGAAGTTTGCAATCTCACTGCAAAAATATTAGCTAAAATGTAAAGAACTCATACAACTCAATATAAAAAATATCTGATTAAATAATGGGCAGAGGATCTGAACAGACATTTTTCCAAAGAAGACATACAGATGGCCAACAAGAACATGAAAAGATGTTCAACAGCACTAATCATCAGGGAAATGCAAATCAAAACCACAATGAGATACCACCTCACACCTATCAAAAGACAAGAAATAACAAGTGTTGGGGAGGAGGTGGAGAAAAGTGAATCCTTAAGCCCTGTTCGTGGGAATGTAAATTGGTACAACCACTATGGAAAACAATATGGAGATTCCTCAAAAATTGACTAGAACTACCATACAATCCAGCATATAAGTACCCAGTACTTCTGGGTACTTAAACGAAGTATATGAAAACACTAATTTGAAAAGATTTATGCACCTCTATATTCATTGCAACATAAGTTACAATAACCAAGATATGGAAGCAACCTAAGTGTCCATTAATAGATTAATTAATAGATGAATGGATAAAGAAAATGTGGTGTGTGTATATATATATATATATACACACAATGAAATGTATTTTCATATATTTCATGAATATTTCATATATATATCATATAGATTTAATATGTACACAATGAAATATATTTATATACAATGAAATAGTCTTCAGCCACAAAAAGAATCAGATCTTGCCATTTGTGACAACATGGATGACCTAGAGGGTATTATTATAAGTGAGATATTAATAAGCTCAACAGAAAAAGACAAATACCATAAATCACTTACATTTTCACTTACATTTGGAATCTGAAAAGCAAATGTCATGTATGAAACAAACTCAGAGATACAAGAGTACAAACTAGTGGTTGCCAGAGAGGAGGGAATGGGGGATGGAAGAAATAGGGGAAGGGGATTAAGAAGTACAAAGCTCAGTTATAAAATAAATACATCACCACAGGTGTGTAATGTACAGCATAGGGATTCCAGTCAGTAATACTGTAATAACATTGGAGGGCAACAGATGACAACTAGATTTATCATGGTGATCATTACATAATATATAAAAATAATGAATCACCATTGCACACTTGAAACTAATATAGTATTGTATGTATTGTATTATATGTCAATAAAAATGAAAAGAAATCTTTGGTTCAGAGCATAGGATCTTGGGGACACACTAATAAATAACAAAATAGCTTATAAGCCATCTAGGAAAATAAAACTGAAGACTTCAGGCAGAAAGAGAAACCCAATCTGTGGAGCAAAACTCTTGTTGCTTCCAAATTTGAAAAATGGTAGTGAAAAATAATAATGTCACTAACAATAATAGTAGTAATATAAATTATCGGGACTTTCCAGGTGGCAGAATAGTAAAGTATCCACCTACCAATGTAGGAGATCCAAGAGACAAGACTTTGATCCTTGGGATGGGAAGATCCCCTGGAGTAAGAAATAGCAACCCACTCCAGTATTCTTGCCTGGAAAATTCCATGGCAAGAGGAGCCTGGTGGGCTATAATCCAGGGGGTTGCAAAGAGTCAGACATGTCTGAGCAACTAGGCACATACAGAATTAGCTACTGAGCACTTACAAGGTTCCAGCACTCTGAAATGTGTACATATTAGCTCATTCAAGCATCACAGCAATCCTTATATTGCAGATACGACTATTAGTCCCATTCAACAGGTAAGGAGACAAGATCTGAGAGCTTGAATTTTTATGGATGTTTACATAAAGTGAGGATTAGTTATATGAGGCACCTTGACTATGTCATGGTACCATTTATCTAGTCAAGCATAAGTCTAGATGCTGCTGTGAAGGGTTTTTTTTGTTTTTTTTTTTTTAAGATGAAGTTAATATTTAAATCAGTAGAGTCTGAGTAGAGCAGACTATTGACCATAATGGAGGAAGGGCTCATCTAATATATTGAAGGTATTAAGAGAAAATAGACTGAGATCCCTGAAAAAGATAGAATTCTGCCTCCAGCCCACCTTCAGACTTGAGCTGCAATATCAGCTCTTTCCTGGGTCTCCAGCCTGCTGGCCTACCCTGTAAAATTCAGACTTCTCCCGCCCCAGGATCATATAATTCTTCAGAATCTCTCTCTCCTTGTCTCTCACATATATGTATATACATATTTCCCAGTGGTTCTGTTTGTCTGGAGAAACCTAATAAATACATACACATAGTAACTGAAAAACTCTGAATTTAAACTAAGAAAATCTTATTACAAAACCCACCCCAAAGTTTGTTTTCAACTCACAAAATTTTCTTTAGCCATTTTTGTTCTTTACAGGGCCATGACAATAGTGTCTGAAAACTGGCAGTGCCATTCGGTATGAAAAATAAAAAAGATGAGAGGTATTCTCTCATTTTCTCCTAAGAACTTATTTTCTCACCCATAGCCTAAATTTAATTAAGCTCAATCAAATGTCTTTGAATCCTGCCCTCCAAATCTATTTGATTCCTTACATGCTATCTACAGTTACTTAGCTGTCATATAGTCTCTTCCCTAAGCAGGGAGACTTGAGGGAAGACTGAAAAAGCATGTCAAGGTTACTTTGAGACTCACCTGTGGGCACAAACCTCTTGCAGTGAAGGAAAGAAGGGCTAGCAGGAAGCAGCGGCAAAGTGTAATGAATAGCCTTTGAAATCAGGCAGATCTGGGTTCAAATCTCAACTTTACCAAGTAAAGTCACAACCATGAGCAAACCATTATATGTCTCCAAACCTCAATTTCCCTACCTGTCAAATGGGGATAGCCATACCTATCCTGAAGCGTTGTTTTAAAAGTCAAGGAAACATGCTAAGCAAACCACAGTGAAGATACTTAAGAAGTCATAGCTCTTATCACGAGCAGCACTTCCACCTTAGAATTTAAAGCCTAACGTCCGCTTCCTAAGCTCACTTCTAATCAGACAACTGTTGTTGTCTGACCATATTTCATTGACATTGCGGTGATCTGAGGTGAAGGCTAAGTCCGCAATTATTCTATCTCCTATCTGACTTGGCAGCATGTCACATAGAGTGCTATAAAAACTCTGGGCTCCTTTCAGAGACCACAAAAAAGAGGGTTAAGGGTGGAATCAGAAAATCAATTTAGTTTCCGCCTAGGAAGCCTTTTGCTATAATGTTTCTTGAACAACATAATGGCTCTGTGGAGCTGATGACAGAGGGCGGCAGAAGAAATGGCCCTGTTGTGATGCAACTTTGTCTGCTGGATCTTGAGCTGGCATTCCAAGGACAATAGATTCTTTAGCACTAGGGGTAATACTTGCAGACAAGGTACCGATGTGGCAACCTCAAGTATGCCCTGAAAATCTATGTGCCAAGGTCTAGGTTCTGTATACTGCCCTGTGTGTGTGTGTGTGTGTGTGTGTGTGTGTGTGAACTCACTTCAGTCGTGTCAACTCTTTGTGACCCTATGGACTGTTGCCCCCCTTTGTCATGGGGATTCTCTGAGAATACTGAAGTGGGTTGCCATGCCCTCCTCCAGAGTATCTTCCCCACCCAGGGATCGAACCTATGCCTCCTGCAGCTCCTGCATTGCAGGTGGGTTCTTTACTGCTGAGCCACTGGGGAAGCCCATACTGCCCACTATCTATACTTAATTCTGTAAATAAAGTCTGTTTGTCCTCATAAAGTGTCAGGAAAAAACTCAAAAAGTAGACAGAAGAACAAAATATTTGTAGCCCCAGTAATCAATGACAACTATTGTCAGCATTTCAGCAAATTATTTCTAGTTTTTACTAATTTTTCAGCATTGATGAAGCTGTTGTTATATGTTCCATTACATATTCAATCATGTAACACCCTGAACAAGGAGTTGGCAAACTACACCGTCCATGCTCTGAATCACTGCCTGTTCTTGTAACTGAGATTTTATTATAACACATCTAAACAGGGAAGCCTGGTGCGCTGTAGCTCGTGGAGTCTTAAAGAGTTGGACATGACTGAGCGACTGAACAACAACGTCTATTCATTTACATACTGTCTGTTGTCTGTGGTTGCTTCCACACCACAAAGGCAGAATTGAGTAGCTGACACAGAGACCATACTTAAAATACTTAACTATGTAGACCTATGCTGAAAAAGTTCATCAACACTAGCCCTAGACAAATGGTCACTGGATCAACTACGAGGCGCCACTGGGATTCCTACCTCTACCACATTCTCTGTTGCCCACATCCTAACCATCTTTCAAGTATACAAGTACTGCCACATCAGAAAATCTTCCTTTCATATTCCCAACTGGAAGGCAGCTCTTCCTCTCCTAAACCTCAACAAATCTTGATCCCTATTTTTGTTAATACCTTCTCCATTTTACACCACTTGTTTTGCACGCATGTTTTCTTAT